AAGTTCCAAGCTACCGTGACATTTGCTCTTACAATCGAGCGCAGAGATCAAATGCACTCGCTTTTTCCCTTAGAAATGCATTACCGGACTTCGTTGGGAAACTCCCATAGAGACAGCTTTGAAAAAGTGGCCCCAACCTGTCTCCGAGCACCGAGCTAATGACGAACGCAACACCGCCATATCTCCCGCAGCGGCCACTCATGGAACTGCACGTGACTTCTATTTTGGCTCTAAGAACAGATACAGAGGTAGAGGTTACAGGGGTGCCACCCCCGTCTGACGCGCCGCGTTCAACTACCGAAGTTAAAATGCACCTAGGTCGGGACGCGCTACCTGAAAGGCCCGCCGAGGCATGGTTGTATAAAAACAATATTAATTGAGCCGCAAAACCTTGCGAACTAAAGATGATAAAAACATCACGCGCCCATCATTTGGTACTAAACTCCAATAAATTTCATACAAAAAGAGTCTTTTCCGTTTGTTTTTACGCAAAAACAGGCTTTCAAAATGCTCAAGGAGACCACAGTACAGACAAGTGACAAAGAGTGGCGCTGTTGTCGCATTTAGCTCGGTCTCGGTGGACGCCAGCGGCCCAGGTTTCGACGGCGAGTTTCCCAACTCAGTGTTTTAGTAACGTTGCCGGAAGACAATTTCGGACTGGTTTCTGTCTGCTTCAATATGCACCAGCACACTAGCGCCAGCTGAACCTCTAGCGTAAACGGGAGTAGCAAGCTCGGAATACGTTTGAAAACAATAATGCCTCTGTCTTGATTATTTCCACCTCAAAAAGAAATAAATAGTCGATTAAAATACTATTACGGCACGGAGACACAAACATCCAACCAACCTATCACACGTCAATCATCTCTCCAGCCAATGAGAGAAGCACCTTGCAAGTACGGGGTTGGGCTTAGCCGGGCTGCGATTTCCACCTTCTGCACCTAAATTGCGTCTATCGGCTTAAAAACTGATCGCAAAAATTTCGTAATAATGATTTTTTTATTTATTTATTTATTTTTAATTGAAGTGTTTCATTGGGAATTTCTCAGTCTGACTTGATTTTTATTTTTCTAGTTTGTTACTCTAACAGTTATTAAAGAACAGAAGTGTTCGGATAAACGAGACACAGCAAAGGCTTCCTGTGTTCCGTAAAGTCAATCCTTTTAGTTAGGGAATTTTAGTAAATTGTTTCGATAACTCAGATAGCGATACGATTCACGCGCAAAGGCGCCGGTGGAGTATCGGGAATCGTTATCGGAACGACCTACTGGAACTCCATATCATGGAATTTTAATAGATCATTCCGTTGATTCCGATACCCTAGCAAAAATATTCTACGTGTATAAGAAATTCTTGGTTCAATAAACACACGCTCAGATAATATAATATAAGAGCCTATAAGAGCTTTATAAGAACCATATAAGGTTATTTTATGATTTTATGATTAAAAGAATTTGCATCTTGTCACCTTTACGTTGTTTATCGTGTCCCAGAGGATAGAGAAAACACTTCCTTCATTAAAAATGTCGCGATTTCGCTGCATAATCGCAAAGCAAAAGTCGAGCTTTTTCCACCACCTGCAGCCCCAAGTGGCAGCCGAAGGAACTACGGCGGAAAGATTACGTGACCTCGCTCGGCTCTAAGCTGCAGCATAGCGCCCGCTAATGTACGCAGTGAGAGGGAGGGGAAGCGTCCTCCGAGATAGCACACGGGAAGCTACACGGCACTCCGAATGACGTCACTGGGAGTGCGACCAGGTGTGACCCTGAAGACTGGGAGTGAGTTGAGGGGTGCCCGAAATGCCAATCTTTATCTTTTTTTTTTTTTTCGCAACAACTAGGACACGCAGACGAAATCGGTTTTCTGTTCTTTACTTCAGAAGTGTCAGGGGGCAACTTCCAGAAATCTTTGACCGAAGTCCGAAAATCGTTGCACCGCCCCTTTAAGGAGAAACTTCTTATCAGTTTCGTATAACTCCTTATATCCTCCCGTGGGGTTCTTATACGTTCTTGTGTGATATCTTATCTGATCATATGTGTTCACTGAACCAACAAATGGCTCATACAAATCAGGATTTTTGTTGTTGTTTTTTTTACTAGGGTTTAACGCTACCCGATAATGTGTCTACGTCTTCACGCATGCATTCTATCGTTATCGTGTATCTTTATGGGAGGTGTCGGAAAGGCCTGGCTGAAGCTCCCTATTATCACATCTAACAAGGAAGGCAATGTTTCTTTCTTACAGGACTTCGAGACTGTCTTCTCGCCGATTATTCGGGAACCCCCATGTTCCCCCCTTTCAACTTAAAACAACTGAAATCAAAACTACCGAACGCAGACTGAGCGTCTGCCGCGACCCGCAAAGTTCTCGTTACACAAGATTAACTTTCTTTTTTCACACAATTAATCATTGTTTAGTCGGAGCATTCGCTGTACGTGATTGTCTTAGTAGGTGATATCAAACGCGCGATGACAATGAGCGTTCAAGTACAGTCGACTCTCGTTAATTCAAAATCTCTTAATTCAAACTTTCGGATAATTCAAACTAATGTGCAGGTCCCATCCTATGCGTCTCTATGGGAAGAAACTCCTGATAATTCAAACTTTGCTTTATTCAAACAAATTTTCGGCCCCCCTCGAGTTTGAATTAATGAGAGTCGACTGTATACTGCACCAGATAACGTGCGCGTAAACGTTTATACGGTCAGCTTCACTTGTTCTTTTTTTTTACGTTAACTTTTTAAAAGCTTGACCGTAAGAACTCAGTTCCTACTTACATTCATCATAACCAGAAAACTGGGACTCTGAAAGATGAGGGCGACAACAAATTAATATCGCTTTTTCTAAGATAGGACTTAAAGGTAGCGCCAAGCTCCCGTGTGTTGTTACTTTGGTTTATGAAATGGACAGTTACTCCTTTACCACTCCTTTCTTGGAGAGGCGACCCAAACGAAAGGTGACAGGCTGCTTTTTAAAGACATTTCTTGTATGCCGAGATTTTTGTTGTCTGGAGAAACCAGCGCACGTTTTCGTAGCGCCACCACATCCGGCGTCGGTGCCTGCACTCTCAAGAAAAAAGGGTGTAACGTTACACCCTTTGTCCCATATAATACACCCCCAAACTTCAATTCGACGTACAGCGCCCTACAGACGAACAGACGGCCCCAAATTTTACGAGGGGCTTGATAGCCGTGTGGCAGAACTTATTAAAATAGCTAATGTACGTTTAACTGCCAAAAAAAAAAAAAATCGGGGTTTTCTTTTTGTGGTCTTTGATACGTACTTTAGCTATTTTATAAGTTATATTGCACCGTTATCAAGCCCCCTCGTAAAATGGGGTCGTCTGTCCGACTATAGGGCTCTGTATGTCGAACGGAAGTTTTGGGATGTATTATATAAGATAAAAGGTGTAACGCACCACCCTTTTTTCTTGAGAGTGTGGCGGCAACGAAAAATAATAATATGTTTTGAAGCGCCCGAGAAGATGCATCATCATTGTCAGAGATCTGGGGAGATAAGAATTATTGATAACTGGATTGCATCAGGGTGTCGAACCGAAATTTGTATCGGTTCGGTTCAGGTTCGGGTTCACGGCTTTGGGTTCAGTTCCGGTTTCGGTTCCGGGGGAGCAGAAAGAACGGATCAAAGCGGTTTCCGCTAAATAACGGAACCGGTTTGAACCGCTAAATTGAGAATCTTTTTTTCCGCGTTGTTCTGGCCATAGGCACTGTTTCCGCCGTGAA